TGTGAAAATTCGTACAGATTGTATTATTTTGATACTCAATCGTGATTGGCTAATTTGTATRAAAAATAATCGCACTGTAATTTCATAGATAATATGTTTTTTAGAGAGACCTGCTTGGTAAAGACGGATATTAAGTATATTGAGTCGCACCTTGAATCAAGTCATCTGCCTCTTCGTCCTTGTCGTATTTTCCAACTTCGTGAGAAAGTGCAACACCAGTATCTACATGAAGGTATATACAACGTTGTTAGTAGATGATAAGTTTTATGGTAAGTTTTTATGATAAGTTGTAAGGGCTTTGCTCCATCACGTGATGGCAGCCATGACAGGAGGCACAACAATAGAGTCTTTCCACCCTGGGAAACTAAATTCCTTCTCATGTAAATCAGTTTCGACCTTGTCATGGCTGCCATCACGTGATGGTTCAAAGCCTCTATAAGGACAGATGTAGCAAGCATTTTCCTCCAGTTTGAGCTTTTACCCAACAAATTCTGAGAAACAGAACGAGCCATGCGTAAAGCCAAAGCCAAAGTTTGCCAAAAATGGTAAATTATTCCTAGACTTTGTCCATAAAATGATTTTGTTTTCCAAATTTACTCAGAAAGCTTCGTTACAAGTGCACTTGATTATATTGGCCTGGGATTATCTTGTGCGAAATACTCGCATTTTGAGTTCACCTTTGCTCAGTCTTAGTCTCGATTGTGTACAAATGTGTTCTTTTCTTTTATTAAGGTGCATTGTATAGTAAGGAATGTACATACTACGGAACAATACGAGTTAACCAAAATGCCACGGGTTTTGGTTGAATAGCTAATGGTTTAAAGAGTTTGATCAGCTAATTGAGCCCAGCTATACTTACGGTCGACTTTTTGAGGTGCGTCCCACATTCCTGAGCCTGAACCAGACTCATCTTCTTCTACCACGGGTGCTAATGACGTAAAAAAACAGTATTAATACATACGTGTGCAACACGAATTACGTCAGCTTGATAACAGCTTTGTGATTTTGGCCATGTTGGCTAACTTTAAAAAACATCCCTCATTAAGCTACTTTTGTTAGACCAACCAAGATGGCGGCTGTTTCATTATTTATATCTCAAGGGATTTTTAGGTCAGGTGGTTGCACTTCAATAATTGTTAAAGACATTTCCTTATTAACTTACCTTTAACAGGACAGACTTTAAGGTTTCCTATTTGTTGTTGATCCATGGCTTTATCGTAGATCTGCACGCACGCGATCTTACCAGAATACCTTCTATCATCGCCATCTCGTGCGCCGATTCTTATTGGATACTGAGTAGCAAGTCTGATTTGTCCAATGTTCCTACTCTTGACCATCTTTCCGTTATGCCAGAGTTTWGCAACACCGGTAGAGTTATCGTATGTGGCACCAACTTGGTTCCATGTGTTTAGCTACAAAAATTGGAATGGATGTCAGATTATTGATCATTAATGGTGAGTCAATAGATGATTATTTAATGCCATAGAAAAAATACAATTGTCTCTTTATATCTCTCTATATACAAGAAATGATGTTTAATTATCGATTTAATGCTAGAATGCTGCAATGCATTTTGGGTCAACATAGAAATATCAAATCTAGTTAAAAACCATTTGCTCTAATCAGTGTAACTTTTATAAAACATAGTGTATAGATTGTGAAAAAATTCCGTGAGTGTATTCCATTTTGAGCAACTCAAAATGAAATAGCAGATAGCGATGATGCACAATATTTTTTGGTATATTTTCCTTGGTTTAAAAGTAACTTTTCGAAAATTGCTCAACCACTTCCTTTACTGCATAGAAGATAGTCCTACGAGAAGCGAGAAACTATTTCTGTCATCCTTGTTAATTCTCCTTCCATGAAATCGAAGTTTGATTTGGCGATGTGACGTCATTGTGTAGTTGATTTATTCTGCGCATGTCAGCTTACCTCTATAACACGTGATCCAATTGGTTTATGGAAGACTCCATTTCTATGCACGAAACGTACGAACAACTCATTGCTTTCAAACTGCCATATATGTACTCCCCAGCCATCTGTCTTGTAGTTGATGATTGGGCCACCGTTGCCTGTTGGGTAGATGTTGGCCAGCACCGTCATGGAGTTCTTGGTATCGAGCTGTCTGCTCTTGGGGATTTCAATGTAGGAATCCTCTTTCCCTAAGAACTCGTATGCACTTTCAGATAAACCTTTGAACGARAAGAAAAAATGAAATTACATCTCTTAGCTTTCTTTCTCTCTTTTTCTCTYTTAATGCATGTCCTTTTYTTGCTCTTAACTTTCGAGAGGCACTTCGTAGCCATTCATTGAAATTCGTGTGGCCCTAGACTTCAAAAGTCCTAGATATTTCAATAATGGAAAGGCTTTTAAGCCATGACTTATAGCCAGGAAATTCGTGGACGTAATTGCCCGTCCCTCCCGCMTAGTTTGCTCTGGTTTTTCAAGGATAGCACTTAATATCTAGTGGCTAACGAACGATAGAAGCTATTAGTATCTGTAATAGGTCGTTATGTTGTCCAATTTGAAGGTAATAAAACATCTCCGAGGGTGCTCAATCTTTGTGTTAACTATCTGATTATGCCTTACCGTCTGGACCGTCGGCTAACTTGACGTTGCTAAGGATACCGTTGTCATTGTTACCACTTGCGTCCTTGGCGCCAAAACTCTTTGTGAGAGGATAGAGACCAACGGGTTTGGGAATGGCTAAAATGAACAAAAATTWAAAAAATTAAAAAAATGAATAAAAATGAACAAAAAAATTACACGAATTATCYAGAAATGCTGGGAATAAATGAAAGTAGAAAATATAAATATAGTGTTCACCTTCTTGTTCTGATGATGGTCCAGGGCCAGTTATACCATCTGAAAAAAGTGCAATAAACAAAGGAAAGAATCAAAAACTGAATGAAATCATGAATGAACGAAAGTAAAATGTGAAAAAATAAATGATTGCACAACGACGACTAAACAATGAGTTTTAGTTGGGAATTASCGCTGTTCAAATATGCAGGCAAAACTGTTGGTAAATCTGTTAATGAATGTTTCAATGATTTCACTGAATCGCTTGATATCTGATGTCAGTAAAAATCATCGTGAACGCATGCGCACAATCTACTCACCTGGCAACCTCCAGCTCAAATGAACTCTCTTGATTGGTCCTTCAAAATGTCCACTTGGGAACTCCACTGCTACTGACGCACAGTCAGCTAGYTTGTCTGCCTTGTGATAGGCCTCAAAGTAGTAGTAACGACCCTTCTTAAGATGAATGTGCTCTGACTTCTGCTCGGGAAACCTGTGGTTAGACCRTAATATTATCCTCAATACCGAAACAATTGTTTTGATTTTTATGATTTTTATCATAAGGTATCGTTTCCGGTGAGTAAAAACATCACACTCAAGGGAATGACACTCTAATTAGTAGTGTATGAAGGTAGTATTTTTTCTTGTTCCTGTGTTGCCTGTGGTGGATTGCCTTTGGTAAGAGTTTTTTTAACAATTTTCAATCTTAGTGTGCTGGGTACCCTGTGGCACAGGATCATCAGATTTAATTCGTTTTCCAAAAGACATGAATATTATGCGAAAAATGAATCAAGAACTATTATAAAAATATGTGTAGATGACATATTAGATGAAATTAAAATAAAATGATAAACTAGAACGAATGAAAATTGAAATTAAGTCCACTAACACCACGTGACACCGCTTTAATAATTCCTACTAAGTCATTCGTTACTGAATATATGTTATAATAATGACCRCTTAATATATAATATCAAACTTGTACTTCCTCAAATTTAAAGTCTAAGATATGGTGTATTAAATATGTCGTTTGACATCGAATTTTCTAGAATTTTGCCCCTCAGAAAACACAAGAGACGAGTAAGATAAGATTCTACCAGATAATCTTAGAGATTAAAATAATATACACTCTCCAATGACCGAACCTGTCTAGAAGGAAATCCTCAATTGAATTCAAAACCTGAACCGCCAAATCCTCAAAACAGCTGAGCAAACAACGTGGTAGTCAGCCAAAGACAGAGAAGTCAAACAAAGCGGTATATAAAATAAAAGATCTGCCGAAGACCAACGATGAGACGTATTGATAGATAARCTAGTCTTTATCCTAGAGACCGTTGATGTTGTACGTGATCGGAGACCGGTAGTGTTGGCCAAAGGAATATTGTCATGAAATACTTATATAGATAATTTGCGAATCTTTCTCCACTTCATAGCTTTGAAAAATATCAACTTTGTTCCCTAGCAATTTGATGTCACTTCACCATTGATTTTGGCGGGAAAGAGTGATGCGCACGCGTCACCCTGAACAATATTTTATATCGTGTTTTTGAGAGTCAAAGAGGCTGGTAGTGTATTTGAAAACACATTGAAGACTTTCCGCTTTTTAAGAAATTAGACTTTTAAGTTTTACCGGGGAAAATTTGCAACGCGCGCACATGTCGTTTTAGCACTTCTGAACAACCGGCCCTAAAAATTAAAAAAAGTTGGAAATTTAAACAAAAAAGCAGAAGTAAATCTTGTTGAATGACGCTAATAAGATTTATTATTAGAAACCTAATGAGAGAAAAATAAGAAAAGAGATATATGTCACGACTGAGAAGCGCTTGTCCTCTTTGAGCCGTCAAGAAAAKCCATGAAAGCAAAGCCAATCAAAATCTAGTCAGTGTAACAAAACTAGTTGGAATTCGAAATATCATTTGTAATCATTTACCTCAAGCTGCGAACAGTATCCAATAGCAGAAACCAATCAAAAACATTTTGAAATAATCCTTCAAAAATAATAATCCAATGTTACCCTCGCCTAACTTCAATTAAATAATTTTTCTCATTAATATTAGCCAGTCGAAGACAAATTTTACTTTGCGATTTTCTTGGCTAATGATGGAATATGGTTTTCTATGCGAACAAAATATACTCACAAAATTGAACAGGTTTAATTAGTGAATTTGCATAGAGTTTAAGCGTCACTCTCAATCTGTCTTATCTAGAGGAGAAGTKCTTGAGTTAAGAGACCTCAATGTCTAATAGTAAATGAGTTGGTCAAGAGGGATGGAATTACAAGATAGRGGAGGGTTCTCGAATCCACTTGAGAAAGTAATTTTAAAGGGAAAATATTATGGTATAAGGAATTGGATGGGATAAGAAAAATGAGAATAGGAAAAATAAGCAGTGTAATGGGATGATTGATAGGAGGAAGGGATAAAATGTAGAAAGAACGAACGAACGAAACAACGAGTGAACTAAACAACGAACGTACGAAACAACGAACGAACCAACGAAAGAAAGAGAAAGAGAAAAAGAGAAAGAAAGAAAGAAAGAAAGAAAGAAAGAAAGAAAGAAAGAAAGAAAGAAAAAAAAAAAAGAAAAAGAAGAAAGAAAGAAAGAAAAAAGAAAGAAAGAAAAAAAGAAAGACTTCCTTGTGTTATTCTTTATTTGATATTCAAGAGGTTGACGAATGTAAACRACGAATCGTTACTGTTCTAGCTAAACTGAAGAGTTTGTAACAACGAAACTAGTTTTTAAAGGCTAAAATACACATAGTGCGTATAAGACAATATTAAGAAAGTGATAATTCACTATTTTAAATTATGACTATTAAAAAAAGAAAGAATGAAAGAAAAAAAGGAGGAAACAAAGAAAGAAAGATGGATGGATGGATGGATGGAAGAATAGATGGGTAGATGAAGGAAAAATAAGACCAGAAAAAGAGAGAAAGCGGAAAAAAAGAAAAAACACGTTATAAAGAAGTATGACAACTCGAATAAAACATCCTCGCGTCTAAAAATAACTAAAATCAAATAATATTTTTGCCTTTYTTTACATGTCTGTACGCCGTGGGACTTGATAATAAATTTTGAAATCCTTTCCAACAGCTTAGCGAGAATAACAATAAGGAATAAAAGTAACATCCGTCCGATATACATTACTGCCAATTAGCACAGACGTAGGGGGTCGCAAGCGTTGTCAGCATTACTACAATCAACGATATGCTATAAATTTAATTACATCTCTAATCGAATATTTTATTCACAAACGATAATCAGAATCCGAAGCGAAAAAATAATGACGAACAAAATTGCCTTTTTTTCAAGTGTCAAATATTTTWAACTGCGTATTGCTAATTGAAGTTTTTCTTTCAAAAATTCACGTTCATCAAGGTATCTATGTATTAACTTAGAAAAAATGAATTCTTGGCGTTCAATAAAGCTAATATGAGTAGGGCTGAACTAGAGTACATCTTTTAGATATTTTTTAAATTCTTCCCTAGCGCATATAGAAGGATTTACGAAATTGATTTGACAACTGAACGAATGTTGTTTTTTTGTTTTTTGTTTTTTTTTACCCGGTCAAACCTTGAATCAAAGTACACGTTATGTAATATCATTTGTCTTGACATTTTTGCATTTCTATTGCTGTTTCATAGACAAAACAATATRAACTTTGAGAATTGACATTTGTTTCTATCGAATGTTATGATTTCATGACAGGATTCCACGATAGAATAATGTTATAAGATAAAGCTACCTACTTCAATTTAACAAGTGAATTTCGCTTTTAAAATCAAAAAATCCGTACAGTTTTTTTATCCATCTGTTTCCTTCGCCCACGACTTCGTTCCAGGTTCCTTTACATACAGATATACTCTTGAATAAAGCCAAATGCTAATGCTTTTTTTTTATGCGAATGAATTTTATAGAGAACGATGTACAAGGCTTTAGTATAGTGCAGGTGTGATGTCAGTTGATCAGTATAAGATAAACCAACGCAGCGCTCTGACTCAATCTAGTCTAGAAAATCGTAGCTTGGTGAAAAAAATAACGGCGAATGTGAAGGGGATGAGAAAGATAATTCTGATGGGGGTGGTGGAGATAGAGAAATGCCATCTAGAAAAGGCGCCAAGGATTCCCCATCATCTGACAGAGAAAACAATGGCGAGGAGAACATATACAAAGGTTCGATTTTYTCGTTCCTGGATAGACTTGGAAAAATAGGGTCACTGAGCTTTGTTTCTGATTCGTTAGGCAGCTTTGGCGGGGTTTTAGACTTTYGTGCCTTTTTTGTTTGGCGGGGCTTGAGTTCAATAGATCGTATTGCCAGCGCCGAGTCACTTAAAAAGAAATCTTTTCTCTTCAGATTCGAGGATGCAGATTCGTAACTTCCCAACGAGTCTAAAACTCGTCTATCGACTGAGCTAATCAGTGGAAAGGATATTCTGTTTTTCAACGACGGACATACAATTCGATCTCTGGCGTGAAATCCTCGTGATCCGGATGAATAATTATCTATAGTTGATGTCTGCCTCGATAATTCCTTGGATAAAGAGTTGTGTGTGTTCCATTTTTTTCTTTCGATAAGATATCCATCGTCTTTTTCCTTTCTTGCTCTGGGAAAGGAGTTCGTGTTCACGCGTGGTAGCTGAGATGTTGAAGAATTGTTCACCAGATTGTTTTTCATATTTGGTCGTTGTAGAATATTCACCTTGCTACGCTTTTGATTACCGTCCAGAAGTTGTAAATACTCTGAATTATTCTTATTCCTGCGATAGTTAATCCTTCTCCTCTCTGCTTCCATCTTTATTGAAATCTTAATTCCAGATGTTCACAAACAAAGACCCTGCTGCTGTTGCGAAATTGCAATCCTCAGTCCTAAGATTTCGCTTGTTCCAATATCAAAAAAATAATAATTTTGAATTCATTTACTMACGCTAAAACAAAAACATGTTCATATTTCTTGTCAAACCGTAAAATAAAGTATCCTTTTTTCTCAGCGAGTGAATTTCAAAAAAATCTCTCGACAATTTTCTGTGGGACCTCGTAAAACTGATCCAGTTCTTGATTCCCAGTAAACTTTTGCTTGTCTTTGTGTTTTTCACCAAGATCGTGAACAAATGAAGACAGTATTGGAGTGGTTCTGTCATGAATGATCAATGCATGTCTACTAGGCCTGGTTCTTATATTCTTGCCACTACTAAATAAACAAAGACCAAATTTGAATGACAAAAAGTTAAGAGCCTCTTTTGGTCATTTATGTAGAATTTTGACATAATTAAATCATTTGGTGTATATTGTAAAGATGAGATTGGCCGATGTAGCGTTGCTAGAAGAAACTGGAAAAATATTAATGAGTTATAATTTGTCATATTCTTTCAGTAGTATTGTGGTTAAAATGTCCTTATATTTTCTTTTGGACAAAATATTCATTATTTGTAAACTTCGAGTCATAATAGTAGACTGAATTGGTATCGAATGGCATGGCTGACTGACTGACTGACTGACTGACTGACTGACTGACTGACTGACTGACTGACTGACTGACTGACTGACTGACTGAATGAATGACTGACTGACTGACTGACTGACTGAATGACTGACTGACCGACTGACTGACTGACTGACTCACTGAATGAATGAAATATTACTCCACAGTTGCCTACAGATTGTAGTGCAATGTGGGAATATTTTAGGGAAGAAAATAGAAAATACAGTCGACTCTCTTTGAACGACCACTCTCGTAAGCGACCACTCTCGTAAGCGACCTTCTCCCGTAAGCGACCATTTTTTGAATTTCCCGTTTTGTTCCCCATATTAACTCTGTAAAAAAACTCTCTCGCAAGCGACCACTCTCGTAAGCGACCGCGACCACCTTTGGGGTTAAAATTTTGGAATTTTTCATTGTTTTTCCTCTCCCGTGTAAGCGACCACCCAAGAGCCAGTCAATGACAGAATAAAAAATTTAAGAACAAAGAGTCATCGGGTATTAAAAACCCGACGAATTATAGTACTGTAAACATATAGCACAGTTTACTAAAACAGTTTAAAGTGCTTCGTTAATACAGTAGATGTAACACGTGAGTTACAAATTATAAATGGTTTAGGCTTCCTGTGTTAGGATTCCCATTGTTTGGGCTTCCTGTGTTACCTCTAGCGACCATCTTCCGTAAGCGACCACTTTCTCCTGGCCCCGGGGTGGTCGCTTACGGGAGAGTCGATGTATGGTCCTTAAAAACAGTTCCAAAATGCACTGTAATGCCAAGTACACCGGATTTTGAAAACTCTTTTCTATAACTTTCTTATTTTTGTAATTCTCAAGTAAAAGGGAGTGAGCTAATGAAGATATTTTAGTCTATTCAAAAATATTTCACAATGTAACGCCTAAAGCAACAGTTCAAGACATGGCAGTCAGTAAACACAGGTTATGATAGGCTTATAGTTTAAACAGCTCATTGAAATGTTAGACTCTCACAGACCTAATTGAATCACACCCAATTAATTTCATTTATGATTACAATGGAGTGAAGTGTCGCGTTTTTGGGCTGCTTGTAAAATGAGGAATTAAAATTTTGAATCTCTTCAAAGATGAAATGAAATACTAAAATCCATGTTTTTATAATGCTGTTAGATGTAGACGATAACAATGCTACAAATGTAGTTGTATAAGTTTATCGAAAGCAGCTAAAACAAATCAAGAGATCAGAAGCATCTAGAATAAATACAAATTGGGACACGATAAAAGTTGGATGGAAAAATTAGAACTTACTAGACTGTCACGAAAAATTATTTTATCTCGTGAATAGAACATTTTTACATTGGAAAAAATCTTTTGTGGCAACTCAGAAATAATGAAGTTTGAAAACTTTTCAAGGTTCCCACGTCATAGCGACAAACATCATATTGAAAAAGAACTTAAATCTTAAATGGATTACGAAAAGAATATCCTTTCCAATATTATTTCAATAAAGCTTTCACTTCTCTGAGATACATTAAAGGSGATGAATGTGGGATATATGTGCGTGTATTGACGTCGGGCATGCAAAAGGATTTAATTGAGAGATATGAAAGTGGGGACGTCACAATCAGATTGAATCGTCAGTTGATAAACACYTTCAGTTTTCGCGAGGCTTTATTAACGAAGCAATATTGAAATAGCATCTCAGATCTTATAATTCCTTATTATAAGATTCACGTTAAAATCTTCTTCTAATAAACACATTAAAATATGTCGGACTTTGAGGCAAAAAATTGTTTTTCTTAAAAAGCAAACTATCATTTTTTTTTTGTCAAATTTTCTCTTAGATATTAAATAGTTTTTTTCAATGATATCTTTTTTTAAGCTCGCTTTGATTTGACTTGACAAATATATTCATTCATTCCTCGTCTTTCTGTTTTCTATTTTTTTCTTCTATTATTTTGCATTCGAATTTGTTTTATATATCTATGTCTATGACTATTCRAATCGAGTTTAAATAATTTTTCTTAAAAATGCTATAATTTAAAGATTAGAAAAATGCTAATTTCTGAGTATTTTGGGGCCATTTTGGACAAAGATAAATACAGCGTAAATACAGATTGCTAAAGAAAGTCTTGTAAGTCATTAGAACCATTTTCTATAAAAGACAGGAAGATTTTACTATTTGAAAAATGAAATATATGGGAGGAATTCCTCTCGAAAATGATCTTCGTGAGTCATGTCCAGCAAATTACAGCGTAAATACAGATTCTTGAAACAAGTTGAAAGTCTTATCAGTCGATGGAATTAATTTCTATTTTTTATAAAAGATAAGGATATTTTACCATTTGTAAAAATATATATTCGTTGCCAGAGTCATGCTTAGCAAATTACAGCGTAAATACAGATTCTTGAAACAATTCGGAAGTCTTGTCAGTTAATGGAGTATTTTTTTATAAAAAATAAGGATATTTTACCATTTGTAAAAATAAAGATATGGAAGGAATTTCCACTAGAATAATCTACGTTGCTAAATCATGTTCAGCAAATTACAGCGTAAGTACAGTTCTTTAAAAAACGTTGACAATCTTGTCAGTCGATGGGATTATTTTTTATTTTTTATAAAAGATAAGGAGATTTTACCATTTATAGAAATAAAGATATGGAAGGAATTTCCACTAGAATAATCTACCTAGCTAGATCATGTTCAGCAAATTACAGCGTAAGTACAGTTCTTAAAAAAACGTTGAAAGTCTTGTCAGTGAATGGAACCATTTTCTATTAAAGACGACTCTATAGTCACTCTAATAAAAGACAATTTTAAACCGTTAATATTTATGCAAGTAAAGTCATTAATAAGCCTTTTCCTGTGTACGTAGATCTTGTAAGTAAATAAAAAGAAATATTATAAACAAGATAGTTGTCCGAAAGAGAATAGTCTGGGCTGTTAACGAGATATAAAAGGAAGTGAAACTTAGATAATTAGTGACTTGACAAATACAGCGGATACGATTTTCTTGCAAACTTGTAAAATTGGATTTCAAAGATAGTAGTCTAATTTTTCTAATGAAGAAGAGTAAAAGCTGTATATATTTTTCATTGCTAAGATGACTAAAAAACGAACAAGAGGTGATATTTGATCAGACGGAAACATACGCTAATTTGGACTGATTGTTATGAATGCTGCATGGACGTCATTAATTATTGCACTACGTGTTGGTATTTCAACGGTGTTCGAGTTTCTTATATGTAGGTTTGTGGCTTGCCATCAGCACCACTATCCCTTCATCATTATCATCATCATCATCATCATCATGAGCATCATAAACATTATCACTGCCAACATCACCACCTTACCCTTTTTTTAAAATTTTTTACCCTTTTATCATCATCGTGATCATCATCATCATCATCATCATCATCATCATGAACATCGTCAACATGAACATCATCTTCGCCATTGACATCATGATCAACAAAAACACCATCATCATCATCAAGAGCATCATCAACATCGTCTTGATCATCATCATTATCATCAACATCATCATCATCATCATCAATACCATCATCAACAACGGCAACATCTCAGGCATCGTCATCACTATCGCAACCACAACCATCAGTATCAACACACACATCACCATTTCAATCAAGAGTACATTGCGGCGGACCATTTCATCATTAATTATCGACCGAACTGTGATATTAATCGCTATGCCCTTTGTACCAGCATCATTAACATTATCTATTTACTGATGAATCACTTACTTCAGCCATTGGTTATGGTCTGTCCATCCGTTGATTGCTATTACTTTCTTTACATTACTTTCRCTCTCGTCTGTGCTTAGCCATAACTCTCCAGTCGTATCGGCGGCCAAGTAAAATCTGAAAATATTCAACAAGGGTTGAAGGAAATTGTAACTAGGACTATCCGTTTTAGTAGATTATATTTTTCTTGGTTTAAACCATCTTCCAATATCTTCCACACCGTCCCTTATTTGCCATATAGTCTCTCCCTACTTCAGCTTGTTTTCCCTTCTTACCTGTACTTTCCTGTCTCTGGAGCCTTGAAGTAGCCTCTGACTCTTGCACCGTAGTTGTCATCGATATTATGTGGAGCGTCAAACTTGTCGAGTACCTCGATACTGGACGGGTTGTTGGGGAAGTTCGTGTTTGATGTCAAATCTGTTATCTTGTAACCAGGAATACCCTGCCAGACCTCACGGATCACACCAGCGAATGGATCACCTGGAAAATACGTGACAAATAAAAGTATCAAGACATGGCCCAAGACATGACCACACGTGTATATAGCAATCAACAGTCAACTGGTCACACACATGTGACAGCCCGAACCGTTTGAAGTTTTTAGACATAAAAATCTTATCCAATGCTAATCTTTGGCTTGACAACCAGTCACGTGATGTCTACCCACGTGACAACCTAACTCAATGACCAACCCGTATTATCTACATTCACGTGACCATGACCTTGATTCACGTGATTCTTAATTCTTAGCGAAAC